GGGAAGAAGGGGAATAGACATCCTCTTCTCAGATGCGTTTGTTTCAATTATATTTACGCGGAGATCTTCATCCAGGTTCCTTAAGGTGGTCGAGGAGTCATTTGATATTTGCTTTTCCAGCTGGTTCCCTAAGCGAGTTGATTTTTTTTTAGAAAGTGTGCGGACGGATCAGTCGACTCTAGCTTTTTCTTTTTAAAAATTTATTTAAGTTGCTTTTACATGATTGCTTATTTATTTTAATTTTCAGGAGTCATCTGTAGACGCATCGCCGATGCAGTCGATTGTCATCCCAGACGGCGTGGGCGCGAGCAACGTGTCCCTGCGCTCTTCCACCAGCGACGCTCACTCGACGGGCTCAGCATCAGCCTCAGTCTCGTCATCTGCATTCCCTGTACCAAAAACAAATACAACAACAACAGCAACAGCAATATCAGCAGCACCATCGACGACAACTGCGGTGCCAGCAACCGGAATGTCGACTGCAGGCACTCCGTCAACGTCGACGTCCACGATCGCGGGCCCTGATGCTGCTGATACCTCAGCGAGCTTGCTGTCTCCGAAAACGCTGCTCGGCCTGGGTCAGCAGCGGAAGGCTTTGTTCCTTCGAAAGCAGTGCTCACTGTCGATACCCGTCGATACCTGCTCCGACGTCGACACGTCATCGGCGTCGACGAGGCGCTGCAATTTTCAAAAGGCTGTTTCGTTTTCCCACTTTGATGCCCCGCAGCAGCAGCAGCAGCGGGAAAGTTCAGACGCAAACGAGGTCAGTTACGAATACATATTATCGACAAATATTTTGTTTTTTGTTTTCAGTGTTTGACTACAGTTCGAACGAGAGCCTGTGTTCTTGACTTCTTTGTTCGGGAGCACTAGGAAACACTGCCTAGAAGTTTGATCTGCGGTTGAATTCGAGTTCGCTGGTACAGTAATGGTGTCAGTGTCACGTGTCTCCAAAAATGAGACAAGTCTCATCCTATATCAAAGTGTTCCCTGTAGAGGCATTATTGCTGGTTATTTACATATATTTTATACATTTTTGGACATATCGAATTATGGCACGCGTAACTGGGAATAATTTACCAGGTGGTGAACAGATCTGTTCTAGGGAAGAAAACTGAAAACAGTTTAGCTTCTCAGTCGAATTTTGAAGGAGCAGCAAACGCATCACTAATTTTGGATTGAAGAAGCAATTACGGGAAGTTGAAATTGATGATTTCTTTACAGTATGCTTAACCTCGGAGGCGAAGGTTCATTCGCCCAACTATTCTTTCAATTCCTTTCAAACAAGCATCAAGTTACGTTTTTATTGCTTTTCTCGAACCCGGGTCCTAGAAAACAGTACGGTAGCCAAAAAAAATCCATAGAAAATAGAGGTTTGAGGGAAAATCTTTGAGTTAAGAAAGGTTCATAAAACGTTACATTATTGCATCATTCATTTCCTTCATTGATGCAAACACCTCATCGCCAGAACAGCAGCTTAGTGGAAAAAGTCACCTTACAACTTTTGGGTGTTGAAAGTTTTCATTCAAAGGGTTCTTGTGACCATTCTGTGGCGCTTGGGCCCATCGAATTGTATACCGTTTGAAAGACAATTGAACAAGCTTTCATTATGCGTTTTTATTTTTCATTGCCGCTGCTCAATTTGCTACTGAGCTATTTCGAGTCAAAAATCGCTTCACTTTTTTTTTTTTTGGTATTTGGGGAAATGCGATACTTGAACTTCATCTTCTGCACGTGACTTTTCAGTATTGTAGTCCTGTTTCTAATGGCTGGCCTCGTTTTCATTGCTAAAAAAAATCACTTACGCTCTCAGTGAAATAGTGGAATTCCATTTAATCGCCACTTATTTCGCGCGCAAATGTCGGCACGAAAAGAAGGAAATGGCTCTACGTGATGAGTTCAGGAGAATTCCCTGAAGAGAGCAGCTCATTTCTTGAAGCGTTCTGTAGAGAGCCATTTCCAGCCTTGAGACATTTCCCAGCTGAGCTGCATAGCGCTATCCCCTTATCGCAGTGAACCACTAATGATTCCCCCCACGAGACAAGCGGACCTGCATTCTGACGCCATTCTGCTCTGCACCTTTTCGCAGAATCGGGTCGTTAGCTGCTTGCTAATATTGTTTTGATTCATTATAGTGTTAATACGCAGGTATTGAAATTGTGCTCTATTGCTTTTGCTTTTATCCAGTACTTTTGCTAGAAATTGTGATGATTATTGAAATTATTCGTCAGCGTTGCATTATTCATTGCAGATCGGTATGTTCAGTGGCCTACATTTTAGGTACCGTACTTATGGTACAGTATTTATTGAGTATCATGCGCCGTCGAGTAGAATACGCATGAGGGGGTTTTCAATCGAAAATTTGAATATGATTGTATCCCCGATTTAGTCGCGCACCCCAGTTTTAGTTACTCTAGGACTGCAATATTTCGAAGATAAGAAAACTAAAATTTGAATTTAGACATGAATTGAACCTGAATTCAACAAGTTTTCAATTGTTTCCAGTAAAATAAATTTTCCGTTAAGCTTGGTCCAAAATTGTGTAATAAAATAAAGTATCATGCGTACCTGAACTTCTGCATCTTTTTGAACAATTTTTACCCGCCCGCACCCTCTTTTTTCTTCATGAATTTGAGAAAAAAAGGTGCGCGTGGTACTTTTTAAATACAGTAGTTGTAAATCAATATAAAAACACGCAGGCTAAAAGTTTTCAGTGATGAGCACTGATTCGGAAATCTTAGTAATTATGACTAGGTCTGTCCTGCGTCGTCTCTTTCCCGTTACGAAGAATACGTTGATTTTATTTTCACTTCTATGAAATACTATGAAATATTATGAAATAATATGATTTACTTCTTTGCGGAAACTTTCTTTCTGGAATCTATGAATCCCTTTCCCGGCCGAGAGTAACAAGTCCTGACCGAACCTACCGTAATCAAACCTAACATAAGTTTGCCGAACAGGAGTTACTGAGGTAAGTTTGAATAAGAGCACGGTACCTGATTTGGAACAATCAAAATGTAAGAGAAGAATTAATGAAGGTACGGCGGCAGTGAGGATTTAAATTTTAGAAAGGGGGTGAACTAGAAGTTGCTTATACAGTACTGTATTCAGAAAAAAAGATGTGGCTATTTCCATGACCGTCTAAACTTGACGATCTGAACATGATTGTTTTCGTGCAAGTAATTTTTTGAAATGAGTACTCGATTCCAAATTAAATTTGATTGGATATTACCAATTGTCAATGTCATGGTGAGTCATTTTTTATGAGACGCTGGTAAGAATTAAATGTTTTATTTTCTGTACTTCGATACAGTATATAGATTACATATGATTCATATGAACATTTTAAAATGATGAATCTATCTCCAGGAAACGTTTTTCAAACTCATTTTCTCCAACTGTACTAAGTTTTGATGACGTCATCAAAACAGAAGACCTCTAAATATTCCAATTCGGGTGACATGATTTATACTACGAGGAAAAATTATCTCGTTGACACGGGAATCGTAGATGCAAGAATCATTAACTGTTGTCTCGTGTCGCGGGTTAAATTTCGAAATCTAGACCAATTTCAATGCAGAAGTATATTTTAAATTTACTGGTTGCTTTTCTCTCCGCTCTCGATGTCGATGCCAAGGTCCTGAGTTCTTCGCAGACGAGCATCGATTACCAGATAACCCCTTCGACGGACCCGACACCGTCCGGAGACGCCAACAGCGGCGCCGAGCTGCTGGACGACATCAACGAAGACTCGTTTGCCGCCCACCCGTTGTCGCCGCCGCCGGATTTCTGCATCACTTCCGGCGACCATCTCGACACCGAGCCGGCTCGCGATGANCCAAGGTCCTGAGTTCTTCGCAGACGAGCATCGATTACCAGATAACCCCTTCGACGGACCCGACACCGTCCGGAGACGCCAACAGCGGCGCCGAGCTGCTGGACGACATCAACGAAGACTCGTTTGCCGCCCACCCGTTGTCGCCGCCGCCGGATTTCTGCATCACTTCCGGCGACCATCTCGACACCGAGCCGGCTCGCGATGACGACGAGACCAACAGCACTTCCAGCTCCATCACGGTGATTCAAATGACCCAGCAGCAACCGGCCAACTTCCAGCAACAGCAACCACCACCATCACAACAACAGCAACAACACCTGAGAATAAAACCATTTCTTATTAAACAGAAGAAATCCATTTGTGAAGATGATGGCTTCGATCAGTATCCGGGCAAGAATTCGAGTCGTAACAGCAACCAGTACCATCACAACAACAGCAACAACACCTGCGAATAAAACCATTTCTTATTAAACAGAAGAAATCCATTTGTGAAGATGATGGCTTCGATCAGTATCCGGGCAAGAATTCGAGTCGACCCGTGTTGAGAGCGTCGAGTTTCCCGAGTGAAAAATGCCCGGGTCCGAAAGCGGGTTCCTCGCAAATGGCTGCTGGGGCAAAAGAGTTCCAGGTGAACTTGATTCTTAATATGATTTAGATTCCTGCTGAAAATTCGCTTTGTATGCAGTACAGTTCATTCAAACCTCGATTTAGTGCCGTCAAGTCCTGGCGCATTTTATATGCAATTAGTGTGTAGGGTATTGTATGAAAGGAAAGTTCAGTTGAGGGTCTCCTGTAGGCAATTGCCCCAATTAAAAAAACGTTTTTTATCCCCGAACTTAGGCGAAAAGGACTTTTATACGAGAGCTCCTATCTACAGCACTGTGTTATGAGTGCAAATTCAAGATTTTGGGATCGTTGAAATGTTTACCCGTTTTCGTGACAGGTGAGGCAATTTCCGCTGAGTAGCACGGGTTCTTCACTGCTCATGTGCAAGCAAAGATCGCTGAATGATGAGCTTCTGATACCTCCTACGCCGAAGATCAAAGAGCGGTTACCGAAACAGACATCCTTGAACGAAAGTTTACTCTACAAGACGCAAAAGGAAAAGGNGTGACAGGTGAGGCAATTTCCGCTGAGTAGCACGGGTTCTTCACTGCTCATGTGCAAGCAAAGATCGCTGAATGATGAGCTTCTGATACCTCCTACGCCGAAGATCAAAGAGCGGTTACCGAAACAGACATCCTTGAACGAAAGTTTACTCTACAAGACGCAAAAGGAAAAGGAGAACGAGAAAAGGGGTGACTTTTTTCAGTGTTTCCAGCGATTGCAAACGCTGCGAGAAGAGATCCGAAGCCGAGGCTCCAGTTTTGACAAGACTTCCCAAAAGTGCCAAGAGAAGGCTGAGTCTGTACAGTCAACCTTGAGGAATGGGTTTGCTAGGATTCTGCAGAGTTGGAGGAGTGAAAATCGGTCAGTTTGTAAAACTCAAAAGTCGAAAGCGACGGATTTTTTTCAGTTCCATCATTGCTTCTTTATTTTAGAATCAACTATTCGCGAAAATCGATCATTCTGTAATCATTTCGAATTTTCGATCATCTGCATTTTAATTTTAAAATCGAGTTCAAGACGCCGTCGATTACGATAAGCAAATATTTTTTCGCCTCAAAATTCTCAGCTATTTTACTGTATGGCTTAAGGACCCTTGATCGCACTCGATCAGAATCAGATTTCCTTACATTGCTTCTCGTCATGCTTCAGCTAACAACTACAAACCAAATAAATGCCTCGAAACATTTCAAAATTGTAACTCTTGTACCCTTGAATTGAAAATGGTACAGAATGTTTTTCAACTTCATTTTGAATTCAATTTTATTCAAAAGAATGTGTTGATAAGAAGCAACTCTAGTGGCAAATTTAAAACACCATTGAATGGTCGATGCTTCCTGATTTTTTTTATCCAATCTTGATTTTAAAAAACGAGAAAATTTGAGACGAAAGTGAACTCAGATTTTAGCTACCGTCTTGAAAAATGTTGTAATCAGCTGACTGAAAAACTTTCCGTTTTCGTCTACTACCTACCATCTCTGATTTGAAGTGGATTGATTTCATCGTCGTCAGTCAAATTTTAAATGTTTACAGTAAGTAATTCTTTGGTTCATCATGCGGAATAACGTAGGAGTTCTCCTGTGTTATATATACGCGTATGTATACGTCGCTTATATATGAACGACCCTTTATTGTGAGCAGCAGATTTAAGCTGTCGTGTGCATCCGTTATTCAGTCCGAAGGAAGAAACTTGGATGATTACCCTGCCGAATGCGCGGTAATCGATTGATTTATGCATCAACAGATGGCAGTCCACGTCTTTGCCGGTGTATAGACCACCGATGGCAGCACAAGGAGCGAGTGGCGAGTCGGTGAGACGCGGATTGTGGTACGGATTCCACCCGAGAACCGGTAAAAACCGTAGATTCCAGTAGACCCTTCCTTGGGGACGTGGCTTGAGTGGTAACGTGTTCTGAGGCTACCCTCCGAAAAAGTGGAGGCTTAGCGACCTGAACGGGAAGTCTTCTTCCAGTCAACGAGCATCTCCCGCTGTTTTAATCGAAGCGAAGGCTTCAGAAGGATTAGCTCAATTTTTTTAGAGGGAGAGTCAGAGACACAACTTGGATAGTGAGAGACACAACTAACGTTTGGAAGAATTTTAGGGATGTTTATTGGCAGAATATCCCTTGATCGTTATTGCGGGGATTTTTTCCCGCTGAGGGTCCTCAGAAAACGAATTATTTCTTGTTGATGAATTTTGGCTCTAATTGTTGTCCATCAACATGAATTTTTGAAAATTGTTTACCTTTTCCAGCTTTTGTTTGTTGACGTTTTCTTTCCGAAACTACGTGCATTTTGAAACTATTCGGATATATACTACTGTATATCCAAAACTATATTCCGAAACTATTTACTGTACTGTACTTGGCAAAGCTGTTCCAGATTAGAAACTGGACAGGAATGATATAATTAAAGACGATTCACATTACAGTATTTAAAAGTTCATCGAAAATAATCCTGAAAGAGTCGCTGGTATTGAATTAATTCCTGGGAAATTTATGGAATGTAGTTGACATCTCACTATCCGTGACGTCACCACTCGAAATCCTCGCATTGTTGAGTGCATGTTTTTGAATTGCCTTATTTTAATAAATCAAATATTAAAGGAAACAGCGGTACATAACCAAAAATTGCGGATTCCTTTGCTATCTTCAAGCTTCGGCGCTGGGTTTCGTGTTGAACGTAAAAGCTAGAAGAATCTGATGATGCCATTTGCAGGTTCAGTTCCGGGGATTACAGTAGCGGCGACAGCGTCATCACACCGACAGCGGTTTCAACAACTGCGAAATGCGCTGATTGCAGCACTTCCATGATGCAAATCTCTGCCAATTATGAAACCGTGCTCATCGACGACCATCACATCATCATGCGGGAACGGAAACTTTCGAAGGAGGAAAACTCTGACTCGAGCTCGAAGGAGAACAGCTTCCAGAGTGACACGAGTGTAGATTCCGAGGATAGTTTCGTCTCCGTCATCTTCATACCGAAGCCCGAGAATCAGCTCCCGCTGAATGGGGTGGCCTCGAGTGGAGACACCGGAAAGCTGCCTGGCAGTCCGGCATTTTCTGAGCCCGTGCAGAGGTCGCTGTCATCTGACAGTGAGCCTCAGACTTCGCCGGTCAAGTCGCCTTGCTCTCCGTTGTCGCCTCGCTCACCGAACAACAACAGCAAGCAACAGAACAACTCTAGATTTTTCGGGCCTAAATTTCAGCAGCAAGCGAATTCTTTGAGGATTCAGAGTGCTCACAGTTTTACGACTGTCAATAATGGCAGCAGCGGGTCTAACAAGAATCAGGGACAGAAATTGGCGTCGTATTCCACAATTGGGGAGATTTCGTGTGCTGCCGGTGCATCTGACGGAAATCTGAGTGAAGACAAGACTTTCGACTCGTCTGGCGGTTTGAAGGTAGTTTACACCGCTTTCATTTTCAAATTTCAAATACTGTACCTGTTTTGAAAACGAATATAAGTCATACTTTCTCCGAATCCTTTTTCAGGTAAAACGAGGAGCTAGCGAGGTTGCGTCTAAAAATTTAAAGATTCATGAGCAATCTACTGTACTATATTTTGAAGGCCAAAAATTCGAATGGTAATTTTTTCAATAATTCATTTAGCGTCGTATTTCGTCGCTATGGATAGGTTAAAGCATGATATGCGTCAAGTAAAGAAGACTTGAATTTTAGAGTGCAAAAGCGTAATCTGGCAATTTTTTTCTCTTTTGCATAATATTTTTCCAATGACGTGGTGTGTGAGTCATTACATTTCTCATAAGATAGATATTTCTCAAAGAATTTTCAACCATCAAAATGAGCCTTTTTACCTTTTTGTTGCAATTTATAGCTTTCGAGGAAGCAAAAATGCGTCTTAAAATTTGGCGAAAATGTATTTTTCAACATATACTGTACCATAATACTGGACGATTTTATACTGTATACTGTATTGTACAGTACTCTATTGAAATACTCGTACTCACGCAATTGTGGGCACTTTTAATAATTTACCGTTATTTGATGAAAATGTCAATGCCGACTGAAGAATGATGGTATTGCCGAATAAGAGCACGATGCTGCTCATTATAACCAGATTGATTTTGATAAGGCCGTGTACAGTTTGTTTCTCGACACAATTTTTTTCATGGGTTGGTTGGTCCATAATTGAATGAATGCAAAAATTCGGGCGCATTCCGAAATAAGTTAAAATGCGACGTTAAGCTATATAGAGACGAATAAAATCTTCGCGTTTTACTACTCTAGGGAGAAGCGGATTTCTCGAGTCTACATCCAGAGATGCATTCGTCAGCATCGCTGGAACGCCTGATGAAACAAGCTCAAAAACACAAGGAGCTGGAGAAACTGAAGAGAGACGCGGCTGCTCTGAGTGCAAGGATCCAAGCGAGAATCTCCAAGTTTCAAGAAAGCCATCCCCCACCTTCCCCGCTTTTTCCCTCTTCATTTCCGTCATTCGCTCCGAAACATACCCCGGGTTCCTTGTTGGGATTCCCTGACAGTTCAGCCAACAAAGACGCAAATACCTCGGATTCCTCTTCAGACCAGGAGTTGAAAAATGCGGACTCGGACGGGAAGGTTGTTCAGGACTCCGTACCTCATCATCAACAGGAGAAACCATCGAGTCTATCTCCAACTGCGGATTCGTCATCATCAGAAGAAGTAAAGGTGCCTGAAGAACCAGCAGAAGTCGTGCCGAAGAAGCAGCAGATTTCGTGTTTGGCCCGCGGGGAAAACGTGGAGATCATTCAGAAACAGGATTCTTACGGCATGTTCAAGGTGCAGGCAGTGAGACGAACTCAGGTGATGCGATCCGGGGATAGTTCTGGAGAGGGGCCGTTGTTCGCTGTTCAAGTTCTAGAAGCGACTACTGCGAATGTATTCAATCCAGAATTGGATGACATGGACAGTGACCTGACATCCGATGAGTTGACCGAAGTGACTGAGCCGGAGTCCTCTTCGTCGTATGGGAGTAACACGAGCGTCATGAATGAGGATGAATGGCCTCCGAAAGATCTGGATGACTTTCTCGGGGTGAGATCGATTTCTGATTTTGTTCTAGATCTATAAATCTACCATATATTTTTTCTAGAAATCCGGGTCGTAATTGGCTCGAATCTTCAAGTTGAGCTCGCGAACTTATTTCTGGATTCGCGTATGCGAGGATTGGTTCATAAGTTTTGAGACTTTTTTGAAATAGATCGAACGGGGTTTCACTTTCAGCAATTCCAGTTTTTGTTTAATTGCATAGCCCCATCATTTGGAAACACGTCAGTGATGTTCAGCACACTTTCCGCCAATTTCAATGCATTTTTCATGCAATAAAACAAACGATCGAAAACAGTGTCAAAAATCGAGTTATGTTTGTTGATTATAGGCACCCTGTAACTTCTGGCTGTTCCCAAAAGGGAAGAACGACCTGAAAGGGATTGATTTTGAGGAAGGGTTCAGCTTTATTTCCGCCATTAAAGAGCAGCTTAATCAACTGACGCACCTCGATTTTAGCCGCTGTTTCGATCGTTGGATTTATCGCATGAAAAAAAAAATGCATTGAAATCGGCGGAGAGAGTATTATGTTGATCAGCTAAATAAGACGTATAATCGCTAAAGACGCTTACGTACTCAAATAACGAAATATGCCCTTTGCAATTTATTTCACCTATCGGGAGCGTGTAAAGTGAACTCTTTGGATCAAAAAGAAATCCTTCGTAGAAGAAACCTTTAACATGGGGAGAGAACCCTGCTTCGTCTACGGGACCACAAAAAAATAAAAATTCGTTGAACGGAGAAAATCGTTGAGACAAGATTGTTGTGGGAAGAGTCCATCTGAATATACAATTTAATTTTGCAGAACAACCTTTCTGGCGCCCATTACGAGTTTTGCACAATCCTTATCACATTGAATACCATCGATGAAATATATTTATAACGTTTATTGAGGGAAATTATTGTGTTTTCCTTTTGAACAATTTTTTGCCGGCGATTTTGTTCTTCCGTGCTATGATCTATATTAGGTTTGTCAGCGAGGCTTTTTTAAATCTATCGAAATTGCTGAAGACCTTAATGGAGGTTTTGTTCGGTGTTTTTGGATTTAATTTTTCTTTCTCGTCGAGGAATTCGCGATGGTGTTTCCATCTATCGGGGAAATTCTGTGAAATTGGAGAGTGGTGGCTAAATTGATGAGATCCAGTCGGTAACATTTTCAAGAGGGTTTGCCATGTTCATACTGGATTTCGTAAAAACTTTTATATACTATCTTCAGTGTTATGGCAACTATTACAACACTTGAACATTTAAGTTTAATTATGCATACGAAGACAGCATTGATATTGCTCATACGAACTCCGCGGGTTATATTGCTGTTCGCTGATGTGGACATGGAAATTTTCGTTGTTACATTTTCTCGTCTGTTTTTAGCAACACTACGACGAATCAGCAGAATTCAGACCTGGGTATTTCAAATCCGATTACATGTCTCGAAATACAGCTCAAAATACAGCAAGCAGAAAATTATGAATTAAATTCCGCGTTATTTTTGCCCATCATGAAATAACATAGCAGCAAAATCGCCCAGAAATATCGCGAACAGTAAAAAATTCCACTTGAAGAATTCATGCTAACAGCTACATTTCCCTCAGGAAAAGACTTTTTCCAGGAAATTTGCTTTTCAAGTGCTATATCGCATAAGAAGCAAGGTTTGCTATCCGAAGAATAGATAGATTTCAACCTCTGGCAAGGATCGTGTTCGTATATAATGTGCAGAAAATCCATTTTGTGATATGGGTCAATCATTATCCGGGGATTCCATCACGAATTTGTTTTTAAAATTCCATGACCTAGGAATGGGGGAATGTCAATTTTTTTTTTTAATTTATATGCTCAACAGACCGGTTTGGAAAGTGACGAGAGATTCGAAGAAAGCGACAGGGAAAGCCTGGACAACTGGGATTCAATTTTCCGACTGAGGTCCCGTCGTGACCGTGGTAGCATCGGATGCCAATCGTCGACGGATGGCAGTGTCGCCGGCGCCGCAGCCGCCGTCAACAATTGCATCTTGGCCCAAAAGGACTCGTCACGGTCTGACGAAGACAGCAGTTCTTTGACTGGAGTCAGTTCATTGTCGCAAAGTCGGTACGGCGACTCGTCTTGCGAATCGGACAACTGGAGTGGCGGCTATCGTGACTCCATTTCGGACAGTGAGTCGAATTCACGATGACTGCGACTCCACTTTTGCGTCTATATGTTTAGTTTAAAAATCAGACCATTCGTTCCCTTTAACCCTGTATATTTTTTTTTTAGAAATAACGAAAATGCTGGTCTCGTACCTATTTCAGACCAGTTTTATTTTCGGAAGATTTTTTTTTTGCTGCCATTTGTAATGCATTTTTTTATTAAATTATATTTTACAGCTGATTTGTATTTTTTAACTTTTTTTTACTGAGCTTCGAAAAATACAAGTACATCGGTGTGAACCCTCGGCTGTACAATTGCTCTATAGTCCATATTTTTTTCGGTTGTCCCTTAAATAAATTATATATTATAGATGATTTTTAATAATTAATTTTTGCTGGGCATCGCAAAATACAGTAGGTGTAGGTTCAATCATCCGCTGTACAATTGTTTTGTATTTTTATTCCTCCTAATACAAAAACATGCACAGGTAGACTATCTCTTCAACGATTTTGTCTACAAAAATTTTTTCTGCATAACTAATTTTTTTCCATTACTCTATCCATATTACAGAGGTGTCCGCGACCAATTTTTCTCTGCAACGACATTTTTTTTTTGTCCCTGAATTTCATTTTAGAGAACCTTGGCAATTTGTGTAGGAACCCCTGTATGGGACTTAAAAACATTCTTTAAACTGAGAAAAGCATTGCAGACAAGATTCTTGGAGAAACCTGGAGCAGTTTACCTGTATAATATTTTTAAGAATGCATCTTGCAATCATTTAAAATATGCAAAAGTGTGGTAGGGGTGGGTTGTTCGTCGTTTGATAAAGTTAGTTAGATCAAAGCCTGAATCAATTTGATGATTCTCGGTGAGGTTGAATGCGACTTTTGGGTACAAGAGTGAAGAGTTTTTCTTTCGTTGAATCGGTTGGTTTATTGTTGGAGCGTCAACTTTTCAAAAGTGATGGTTCGATGACATGCGACGCAAGCTTCAAATCATCTGGTATAAAACATCCAGCGGAGATAATGTTTTCTGCTTGCAAATTCTAAAATGCAAAATGTGCTTGCTCATCATTTTTTGTAGGAACTTCTGTGGATTCCTCATTTCGCCCTTGGCGTATCACGGAGGAATATCTCATGAGCCGTCGAGGCACTGCTTACAGCAGATGGGAATCTTTCGAAAGCACGTCCTCGTCGGAAACCTCGGGCTCAGGTGGTCAACACAGGCCATCGATCGGCACCCGGTCAGCAGCCTTCTACCGACGTGCCAGCAACAGCGCCCAGCACCCTCAACAACAACAACAACAACAACAATTGCAAAGGTTCTCGGGTTTCTCAGAAGACGACGAATGCCAGGCTAATGCAGCCGGTCCGTCGTGTTACGGGAATATGCGGAATCTCCGGATATACCACGACAGCTCGATCGAAGAAGAAAACGACTTGGATTGCGAAGACGAAGCATTGAGCAACACGCTGCAATTGGCGACGAATGTGCAGGAATTTTCCGAGTTGCTCGCAGCGGCTTGTTTGCAGCAAGCATTTTCTGCAATTGCGAGGAACCAGGCACGGCAGCAGAGAGCCTTGGCCAAGGTGCAACGACGGCCTAGTTCCCAGTTTGGCAACAAACGAGATTTGGTTGCTGGAAGGTACGTCAATACAGTGTACTGTATATATAACCTTGTTCATAGATTTCGCTTTCTCGTTGTGATGAGGATAGAATGTATGTATACGGCGATATTTTAGCAAATTTTTATTCGAAGACATTTTTAGAACATCATTTTTGTTTAAGGTACTGTATAAATACCTAATTACAAAACGTGCCGTTTTTACTGGGAGTACCACGCACTTTTCCTCCCCTCAAAATTTACATTGGAAAGTTCACAGTGCGCATCACAGGCGGAGGTAAAGTTTTCCAAATTTTCTAGAAAATCAGTCCATTTCATACATTCTTGATTGTAATGTGAAAAGTTTTTCCAATTCAGGCAGGGAAAGTTTTTCGAATCGAAATATTGGAAAATTAGCTAAATTCAGGTTGAATTCTAGATTCTCTGATTATTGAAATACTGTACAGTATTGCAGTTTTTGAGTCACTAGAAATGGGTTCCGCGTCTTAATCAAAGGGGATGGTATTATATAAAAAATTGTAGGCTGAAAAAATCCGGATGCGTGTCTTACTTTTGGTCGCACTTTTTAACGCAGCCTTTATTTGAAAGAAGGGCATTCAACTTCAACAAATTATTTTAAAGGATTCTCTTGTGATTTTTTTCATCTGTATCTTATTAGTATTTTTCCGCCTCTTCGTTGGATGGACGAAGAAAAATGTTCAGCCACCATCACTGCATTAAGCGTGTCGTGTTGCTGTCCATAATGAAAATATAGAAGAATTGATGTTTCAGGTCAAGTAATTTTTTTATCTCGTTTCAGTGCGAAGAAACGAAGAAAAAATGTAAAAAGGAGGAGTAAATAAATAGTGCACTGGATTTCAATGCATCTCGTGTATGTACGCAGACGTTAACTTCGAATTTTCACTTTAAAAATATTTCAAAATGTTTACTAAGAAAGAAATTAGCATGCACTAATGATTTAAACCCACAGAAGCGTTCGGGTAAAAATTCTCTTCGTGAGTGAAAGTTGCATGTGCCATACTAATGTGCAATTTGCCGATGAGTACATAAAATAGGCCACATCACAGTTTTCCTTGATTATAAGTTTTTTTTTGTTGGCGAAAAATTTAAATATGGCTTTGATTGTGATTTTCTTATTGTTGCCTGTCGCAGCTTTTCTTCCGGATGCTCTCGATTTATTGGTCACTTTCCGAGCTGTGAAGAAATAAAATTATGCCTTGATCGAATGGTTTTTTTTGTGTGCAATAATTAAAATAGGCGGAGGTCGGGGTTGCAGTGGTGGGCCAGCACCCGACAGGACTCGACCTTCAGCGCGTTCAGCGAGCGCTTCAACCCACCGGGTGCCCCGGCCTTGATGCGAACCCGGGCCTCAATCGCAGGCGGCAAGTCTTTCGAGTTCAGCAAGGACCTCAGTGGCTCAGCACCCACCAAGATGGAGGCACAACGTCGGAGCAAAAAGTTCTCTCTGCCGTCTTCTGTGCTTCAAGCCGGGATGATGCCAGTGCCTGTGCCTGTGCGACACGACTCGGACAACAGTTCTACGCATTCGACGCGACGCAGTGGCGGCAAAGCGTCCGAGACCGAGAGTAAAACCGGGAATAAAGGTAACAGGGGCTCTGCTGGAAGCGGCGGTGGTGGTTCTGGTTCTGGGCCCAGGTATAATCCGGAGGGCGACGGACATCATCATCATCATCACGGTGGCGGCAGCAGGATGTTGGGGTCGGCTGAAGGCGGACAAACGAGTTGGGACAACACCAGCGTGTCTACGTCGCAGGACAGTTTGCAGAGCTCAGACAACGGCATTGCTCACAGCACCAATTACCACAGGTGATTTTTTGCAATTTCTTCGAGCCACAGAAGTTTTTTTAAATTTTATATACATAAACAGCCCAATTAACAATTCCTGGCTACCCCAGGGAAATGAAAATAATACAAATGAAAATAACTATTGAGTTATTAGGGGTTTTCAGTGTTTAATTTGTTTCAATTCTATAGGCGATTGCTGTCATTGAAATGTTTTCGGTAAAGGTCGACGTTCTTGAATTAAGTGGAAAAAAATCAGTGCCTTGCTTTGAAATTCGCAAGAAATACATGGCCTCGCCTGAATCCATTCTCTGAATATGATTGAATTTGAGTACAATAATTGAAATAATATAGTTAGGTGCCTTAAAAATGATCATCTTTTGAATTGTGTATCGGTGTATCCGCTTTTAGGAATAAATAGCATGGTTTCAAAATAAATTCTTTCTGAGTTGAGCTTAGTTTTGTTTGGCTGCAGTTCTGTACCTTCAGCTTTAATAATTATAAATTATGCATCGGATATTTTAGTGATTTCAAGTTATTTCATTCGTATAAAAACAGATGTTCCCAAAATATCTATAAAAGAAATTATGAGTGCACTGTACTTCCGAGTGGTCTAGGAATTAAATGTCAATTTTTTACTGGATTGAATCGAGGAATTTTTACAGGCTCTTGAAATTACTGTACACGCTCAATTGACATTCTGGTGTTTTAATGGGCATATTCGTGATTTTTGTTGTCAAATGCTGTAGTGTGATGGATGTTCTTGTTTCAGGTATTACCATGTGTTCCGGGAGCGTGAGTTGGACAAGCTTATCGAGAAGTACGTGCAAAATTTGCATATCATATCCTCGTACTACGACCACGCAAATTGGTGCATAATCGCCGAAAAAGTGCAAGTTTGGACTATTTAATTTTCCTCGCCCAAATTAACCTTGAAACCAAAGAAACTGATTCACCTCAACGAAACACTCCGAAAAAACTGTTACCAAAGATTTTTCAGTGCATTCAATCACTTCTGAGTGATTCCCCCCCCCCCCTCCGGTGAGAATTTTGATTCAAAATCTTTTGAAGAGGGGATTTCGAAGAAGATTCATGGTTCATTTTGATATCATTGTTGCTCACGACTTGAAGAAAAAAAATTTCTAAAGAAATGTAGTTCGTTGGATTCGAGGTTGTTAGTCGTGTGGACCAAGTGTTGCCCGCCAATTTCTTCTAATATTTCTTTATAAAAAAATTTTTTGAAGTCAAATTTCAATTTTTCAACGTACGTTTACGATCTTCAGCCAATTCCTGAGCGTTTAAATGTGACCGAATAGCTTTTCGAAGATCTCCTTTTCTAAGCAATCCCTTCATTGGCTCAAATCCATAACAGACGAAAAAAAAGGCTTGCTTTGTCTTTCTTGTGTCGGTGGAAATTTGAGTTGGATTTTCGATCACAGGAGCATTATTTAATTGACGTGCCATGTAGAAAAAGTGAGTGTTATTTTGAGATTCTCGTCATTCGTTGATGGTTATTGTTCGGGAAGAAATGCTTGACATTTTTCAGTGTTCAACTACTTCCAAGAGACGGAATAAAAATGTTTTCCACTCTGAATGTGACTCTGTGTCAAATGTATATCTTCTTGTTTTTCCTGCGACTTATTGTCATGCCTGACTAACAAACGCTTTTAAATCGAAACCTTGGTACCATTACTTAATTTAAGAAGTACAGTATATGCGTGTCATGTTTTTTAAATCCATATAGATTCACACCAACTGTGTTCCGGAGGTGCTTGGCTTTTAGAACTTTGCCCTAGAGTGAATGTCAAATCATTGCACTACTCATTTCTTCAATTTTGATCAATTAAATTTTGGGGTTGTTATCGTAAGTTGTCAGAATTTTACCAAAGAAAATACAAATGCATCAAACGTCTCCTTCGCAGTTCGCAGAGATAATTTACTTTGTTCTGAAATTATCTTTTGGGACAAAAATATGTCAAGAAGTGATTAATTCTTATGGCCTGGGTAATGTGAAATGAGAACACTCCTCTTTTGTACAAGTGAGTAATATATTTGTGAACCAAACTAACAAAGACCAGACCAGCAATGAATGCATAAGAAGCATTTGGACACTCCTATATAGACTTGGGGCATCAGACAAGAAAAATGTGCATGACTGGCCATTTCATGGTGATCCAGTACTGGTTTAATTCAAGGCATGGTATTTGTTTATTTTAGTAACCCTATACTCTGGAAATATTGCATTGTTTTAGTTTGCAGAATCATCAATTATCATTGGTTTCCATAGTCAATTGTTCATATGTATTTTTCATGGAAGAGCTGTGGATGAATCCTTTGCAGAGCCCTTACATGACTTCCAAGCAGGTGAATATAATGAATCTAATGCAGAGAATGCTTATCAGCATTGACATTTCTTGAGTGAGCAAAACGTTGAGGAGCCAGAAAGACTTTTCTCGAGGCAATCTAACGCAAAACTCACCCTCATGGTAGGTTATATTTGAAAATTTAGTTGAAACTGAATATTTTACACATATATATACTGTACTTTACTGACCTGTCATTTCAGATTAAAGACTCGCTTAATCCGACAGAATTAACAAAATATGCATAATTTTCAAGAGCAATTATTTTATGTTGAATCAAAAATGCCGAATTGAAGTGCAATGGTCGTAATTATTGCCAATTAAGGAATTATGCTTGTCTATACAAGGCTGTAGGAGCATAGTATGATAAATGTAAAAGTTCTTCTCCAGTAATACGATATTTAGTTAAGTCTTCGAAGAAGTTGCGGAAAATTGCACTGACGTTGGAGAGTGAGAATAAGGTGTGAATAACAGTAAAAGTATTGCTTCAAATAAGCGATCTTGTTGAAGAATTATCCTGAAGATAAGGAAATGAACGAAAGATTGTTTTAGGTTCGCAGGAAAAATTGTTTCAATATCAATATGATACGTCTTTAAAAAAGTCATTCTTTTGAAGTTCTTTGTGCTGAAAACTTATCCCTGATTCAAATTTTCCTGTCAACCAGGAATATTTTCCTGTTAACCAGTGGTCAATTCATCCCAGTTAAGCAATGGCCCCCAAACGTCTGTAACTCGAAACTTCATGGATAAAACCTCCATTAGTCCAATTTTGAGTCGTTTTTATCAATTTGGGGCTATAGTGATTCAACACCTGTTCCACAATACGGTAATAAACAAGAAACGCCAGTTATTTAATATATTCTCTCCATAACAATTTGATTATATAACGCATAAGCATTTTTATTCCTGCATGTTGGACATTATGTGGATATAATGAACAGCAGTTATAATAATTTGGTCAGAAGAGAATTTCAATTGATTACCCCTCCCAAATTAATGAAGACAAAGTTTGCAACTCAAAAACTCCCCAAGTCCAAGTATTTTAGATTCCCTTATCAAATTCGAGACAGCACGTAGAATGGAAGTTCAACTTTTGTGATTTGTATTTGCGTCGATGCGGTTATTTTGAGCCGGAGAATCGGAAGTATTAAAAGTACTGTACAGTACCATCCTAAGGCCAAAGTGCTCGTTCAGCAAACATTTGTTTAGGTTTGACCCTTATTACCTCGTAAAAGCTCCCAGACGACAGGCTTGTTTCCTAGTACTAGGAATAAATAAAGGCTATCTTTAGTATCTAATAGGTATTTCTTCAGCTGAACGGTTCTCCAGCAGCAATCGCGTTTCATCATCGAGGCCAAAACGCTTTCTGTCGGATTTGAAGAACTCCGTATTTCTCGATAAGCTTCATATGACATCTGTTCCGGGATCAAAAGCATTCTTTTACTTTATTTTTTTTGGTGAATGCTAGACACATTGTTTCGGGGATTCGATTCACTTAAATAAAACGGAAGCTTTATAGCCCTGTTCTCCTCGCTTTTTTATTTTTTCGAGGCCGATCGAGACGTATATTCTTTCACAAAATAATTTGTTCCACGTTCACATGATCAGCTAGATCATGTGAACGTGTACTGATAGTTCTAAAAACATTTGTTTTCAAGTTTTTATCACTCTCATAGCGATCAAAATGCTTGTGGTTCCGCATTTCTTCATTTTTCGGAGTCTTCGTGACAGAATATTGATTTTGTGAAGAAGCGCGGGAGAATGAAAGTAATATTTTTAGACGCTTTCCTTATTTCGGTTTTCCAAAGACCTCTCTTTTGCGAATGTTTTACTTGTAAATTCTCGAAATTCTCAAATTTAACCTCTACGTGTTTATCCTGTGGATTAGTGTCAAATCCCCGTTATATTTTTATATAATGAGTCATTCCATGAAATTTTCCAGCGTTCAACGTTTTTTGACGCACCGAATGATGATAGATATTCAGCTTCATTCAGAAGGTAAAAATCAAAACAGTTTGACTGATATGTACAACTAAACATGTATATTGAGTATTTATAGAAGTCAATGTATGCAGTACTCACAACATGCTTTTCACGGTCATAATGACAAAAGACAATTTTTAAAATCTGCCAAATAGAAAACAATTAAATGTGGGTACGTGAGTCAGCATGGAATTCCTCCTTCCCCAAAGAATTACGCGCACATTTTCCACTTATTCTTTGTCACGGTGACACTTTTTGAAAACATACTTAAAATTGTTAATCTCGGTTATGTAGTATTTGAACTCGAAACTGCGCAGGTCAGAAAAGAAAATTGAGTCAATATCTCGTTGAAGTTCCCTCTGAAACACCGTATTCCTTGGATTGGATGACGATGGAAAGGATTTTCATTAAGTTCCTGTGCTTTGTATTACACAAAATATATTTCGTAGATTGCTGTATAGACATTCGAAAAATCTACGATTGAAAAGACATTAAGCTCAAATGCGTCCAAAGTTATTGAATGAGACAGAAAAGGTGAATTTTTGCGAGTTAAATAAAAACATTGGCAGCTAGGATTCGAACATTTTCTCGAATTTTTCCAGTGTTGAACCTTGAAAATATTTTCCACTTCTGTCTGATATACCATAAGTAGAAATGTAGCAAATGATTTTTATTTTATTTTCACACTCACTTTTTTCGATTCCCGTTTTTGTATCATTGATCTTTGTTTTTTGAAACTCTTTTTTCATATTCTCTTTCTTCATAAGCTTAGTACGTGTCTGTGGACATTTATTCGTCTGAAACTTCCTGTTTTTAATGATCTGTATATATTTGGAAACCATACATTCATCCATCAGATTAAGAAAATAAATTGCAATGTCAAGTTTTCCATGGGAAGTTTTGATCTGATTTCAAGTCATCAGATTAAAATGAGCAGATTGGAAAACGGATATTTTGCCACTTGATCAAAATATCATCCAAAAGAAAAATTTCTTGAACAAAAATAGCCTGAAAAATATGGAATATGCGTGAATCACCGGGAAATAATTAAATGAAGACTTTTGATGCATCCCACACAAAAAAAATCTTCTGTGGGTGATCATATATTTGTTTGTTTGTGCTGAGATGCTCACGCTTACCCTGTCGATATTCTAGGAAGGCAAACTTTTAAATCCACGACTTATTCATACTACGATATTTATGCGTTTGCTTATTATTATTTATTATTTTTTGTTTGCGTAGAGAATCTTCGAGTTTGTTCTGTACCTTTTTTACTACTGCGTGGCTTTCCACAATTACTGCGGAACATCAAAGTGGATTCCTGCTTTAAAAAACACACTAAAACTTGAAATTCTGCCTGCCATTGTACTTTCAGGTCACATAACTAGGGAGCACAATCAGTAGATCTGTATATTTTTTCAGTTGTCAGTTTTTTAAAAGAAATCCTGCATGGAAATACAACAGAAACAATTGCAACTGACGACTTTGAATATAATAAAGAAACCGTAATATCTCATTGGATCTAAATAAGTTACTACTGTATTTCCCGAAATGGACTTCCAGCACAAAACATTGCATGAGCTCAATTTTTACATTTCGCCATTCACAAACTTGGCTAAAATAGTTGAGCATCCAGCAGCATCAGTTCCAACAATGTCAAAGTTTAAAAAGAGAGAGAAAAAACGAACGAACAAAAGAAAGAAAAAACTAATAATTTTCTAGATATTTTCGTAACTCGCATAGCGATTTTTTTTTACCACCAAATAAAATCCTGAAACATTTCAAAACAGTTTAAAAAGAAGAAATGAATCTTTGAGAATCCCTCGGCACTCGTTCGGTTCATTAATTTCATTCCTCGTTGAGTTTGATGACAGAAGGGCAAGGCACCATCATCCGGGATTGACGATATTCCCTGAATATTTTCTTATCATTATATCTTCTCCACCAAAAAAAAAAGAACGTTCTCGACATGCTTTTCCAAACAAAGGCGCGGTTTTCACTACGAACAACAGCGGTGTTGTATAATAAACGCAGGAATTTTAATCTGACCCAGGATCAGCTTTAAAAGATCAGCTCGACCCTGGATTTTATTCAGTTTCCTTTCAGCTGACGGGGCGACGAGTCGTTTATTTTCTCTCCTTCCTCTCTTGTTGTTTTCTCAAAGTGAAAAAAATTATTCCAAGCCAATGTTTTTTACTCGGTGAGGCTGATCCAATAAAAGTGAAGTTTTTTTTTTTTTTAATCTCGTACCTCGAGAATTTTAACCCGCGGCGATCGAAAAAGTTTTTGTGCGTTCAAGAATGATCCCAGAGCTTAGTTTCAATTACAGTATCGAGATTTTTTGTTCAGTAGTTGTGACGAATATGCAAGTTGTTTGGCCACTTTAAAAGAGTTCATAAACGAAGAAGAATCATCTTCAATACTTTTCAAAATTTTCAAAAACGGGGGAAAAATGAACTTTAAAATATGTTACTGTTGCGGTTTTAAACGTTTTAAATAATAATACTGTACAGCAATCGTTTAAATTCTATTCCTTCTCAATGAAGCCTAAAGCTTATTTTTGACCGAAATCACTTGCAGACTTGACACTTGACCAAAGTGACGTCGTTGTGGTCATTTGACAAATTGTGGACGTTTGAGGAGTTTTATACAGTACTTCGTGATCTTCCGAACTACGATCTGGTTTTTGAATCTTCGACATTATTATTTTTAAAAAAACCTGACATATTGATAAAACTTGTGTAAATTTCAAAAATTTTCGTCGGTCGTCAGTATCATTGTGACATGATGGGGTCAAATCAGAAGGAAGTCACTCGGAGCGACGGGCAACTGTTGAACCATCACTCGTTCGGTTCATTAATTTCATTCCTCGTTGAGTTTGATGACAGAAGGGCAAGGCACCATCATCCGGGATTGACGATATTCCCTGAATATTTTCTTATCATTATATCTTCTCCACCAAAAAAAAGAACGTTCTCGACATGCTTTTCCAAACAAAGGCGCGGTTTTCACTACGAACAACAGCGGTGTTGTATAATAAACGCAGGAATTTTAATCTGACCGAGGATCAGCTTTAAAAGATCAGCTCGACCCTGGATTTTATTCAGTTTCCTTTCAGCTGACGGGGCGACGAGTCGTTTATTTTCTCTCCTTCGTCTCTTGTTGTTTTCTCGAAGTGAAAAAAATTATTCCAAGCCAATGTTTTTTTACTCGGTGAGGCTGATCCAATAAAAATGAAGTTTTTTAAAAATCTCGTGTACCTCGGAACATTTTAACCCGCGGCGATCGAACAAGTTTTCGTGCGTTCAAGAATGATTCCAGAGCTTAGTTTCAATTATTGTACAGTATCAAGATTTTTTTGTTCAGTAGTTTTGATGAATGTGCAAGTTTTTTGACCACATTAGAAGAGTTCATAAACGAAAAAGAATCATCTTCAATATTTTTCGAAATCTTCAAAAACGGGGGGAAAATGAACTTTAAAATATGTTAGTGTTGCGGTTTTAAATGTTTTAAATAATAATCCAGCAATCGTTTAAATTCTATTCCTTCTCAATGAAGCCTAAAGCTTATTTTTGACCGAAATCACTTGCAGACTTGACCAAAGTGACGTCGTTGTGGTCATTTGACAAATTGTGGACGTTTGAGGAGTTTTATACAGTACTTCGTGATCTTCCGAACTACGATCTGGTTTTTGAATCTTCGACAATATTATTTTTATAAAAACCTGACATATTGATAAAACTTGTGTAAATTTCAAAAATTTTCGTCGGTCGTCAGTATCATTGTGACATGATGGGGTCAAATCAGAAGGAAGTCACTCGGAGCGACGGGCAACTGTTGAACCATTTCCTGAATTCCGGGAACGCTGTCACGGGTTTCCTGCAACCCAAGGAGGAAGTCGAACTTCCGCCGGATCATCAAGACAGGCGTCATGCCTATAGCGCACCTGCTGAGGAGGTTCTCTTCATGGAAATGTATAGGGTGAGATAAAAAACTTTTTTTTTTTGCTATCGTCAAGAAACATAAAACCAAGGCAGAAGTTGTTTTTTTTTTATTGATGCAAGTCGGAAAACTCGTCGTTGGGTAAGAAGCAAAAAAAAAAAAAAAAACTCCTCCCTTGGTTTTAGTTTTCCTGTCTTTTTAAACAACTCCTGCCTTGGTTTTATTTTTCCGCGTTTTTTCTTTTTTTTCTTTTTACCGAACGACGAGTTTTTCGACTCGCATCAATACCAAAAACAAATAACAAAAAGAAGATTGTTCGGATGTGAAATCTTGCCAATGACTCTTGCAGGTTTTTCATTTGATGGAAATTACGAAAAAACGTAGATGTTATTGGAAACGGGTGTAATAATGATAGAGCTGTATTAATGAGGCAATTCTAACCAGACAACGACATGTTCACATGATCGACCATCTTACAATGTATCAGGTGTCAACTAACAAAAAGACCCTGTATAAACAAGGAATCTGATTTTTTAAAGTGAAATGACAGAAACCCTCGACTCAAATAACCAGTGGACAAAAAATCTCAACTTTGGCTAATATTGGGTGATCCTACATTCTTAAATATGTTCATTTACCCAGATCCGGAATTTTATCAATTTTCATTATTTCGAAAGAAGAAAATTGTTAACCCAGAAAAGGTTTGCACTTACTTCTATTTATTTTTCCTTACATGGGAAGATTTTTAAAATGACAAGGTTTCCTGTCTTTGCAGCTGTTTCCTTGTTCTGGTTCTCTTCTACTTGTGTTAATTTGCATTAAAGCATGACCCCTATTTATGTACATTTTGTGTTTAACTTCTCATTGACAACAGTGATGTACAACCCTTGTTGCCTCTTTAATCTAAATTACAGCTGCTTATCACAAATTTTAATTCACTCATCAGCGAATGGAAGCTAATACAACTTCGGTTGCCTGCAAGACTAAGCAGTTTTTTTAATAAGTGCCCAGATTTAATTTTTTATTTGTGCTACGTAAACTTTAAAAAAGTCGAAGATTAGATTAAATGCCGTGGATTAATAAATAACAAACAACGTGAATCATGAATGATCATCGTGATTAAAACGTTTATGGAATTTTCATGAAAAACTTCAAGTTTGTAGAAGAAACGAACAATTCATTCTTAAGATTTGCTCCATAAATTCCGACCCCATCTTCAAATGTTACGAGGGGAAAATATTGATTCCGTTAAGCAAATCCGGAAACAAACAGGACGTTATTCACGTAAGTCTTTTCATTTTGTTCTTCAATTTGTGATGAACCGGTGTTGCTTCTGTAAGAAACGCCATGGAAAGCATGGATTAGCACGAAACTTGATGCAATTTTGACTAGTTTCGAAGCTTTCGTCAGCGCAGCGAAGATCGCGTGCTTCGGATTATTGTGCTTCTAAATTCATTCATGATTGAACGAAAAGCTCAACCTGAATGGCAGTGAATAGTATTTTCATGAATTAAAAACGCGACTTTGTCTTCAATCGGACTTCCGAAAGACTCATTAAGGTTTTTTTTTCGATCGATTCGAAAACAGATGCGTGCCAACCTCGATTAAATGAAGCAATATCCCGCTGTAGTTTCTCGAGTTTTCTTCTGTTTCCTAGTTATGATGATTTATGGAAACATTCACTGATGAGAAAGCTCTGTTGACACTTCACAGATGCTTGAGTGGTACGGAAACCTTTTCTTTCAATCCTTTTGAAGGACGAGACCATATTCAAATAATATTCAATTGAAACTCCGTGCAATTTTTTTCGTACTTATCAGTTCAAAGGTGGTCAACTTCCCCTGCGAAGTGCTGCCATATTCATCAAATCTTTTGTAATTCTTCCGACTGTAAAATTCGCAGTTACTGCCATAATTTTAAGTGAATAAAGCTTGAAATTGCCTCTGGTACACGTATTTTATTCCGTTTTACACATTTTTTTTAAATTTTTTGAAAAGGTAGATTGGCTTAGTTGGAACCAAATTTGCACAGCAAGAATAAAATTTATGTTTATACTGTATTAGAAAAATGAACTCACTTCCAATAGCTTGTAGGACTGCCTACAATTTTCAAATTATTTTTTATTTATTCTACCTTTCCTGCAGTGTTCATTGAAAATTATGTAAAATTGATTCTTGATGAATGATTAGCTGTTCTTCAGGTTGCCAAATTTTGTTAGCTTTTTTTCTGACAACTGTCCAGCACAGTTTTTATATAATTGACGTTTTATTTAAAGCTCTTGAAGATTTTTAATTTTGAAATTCCGAATTTGATATTCTTCCCGCTTTAAAAGTTATTTTTTCAATAAAAGGTGGTCAATTTGTGATTGAATTCAGCTATTTCGCAATAAAATGGGCCGTGACTTTTTTGAAAACGTCTCCGATTTGTTGTAGTGTTTGTAATATTTCCGTTTTGCATATTCTTGGTTCCCAACAAAATGGGGAAATTTGAGTTTTTGTGGGATTATTTTGCGCTACATGAATTTGTCTTGAGCTTTGTTTTGCAACAAACAAACAAAAAAGAAGAGAAATAATACTGTATTCTGTACAGAGCAAGAAAAAGGGTTTACGTACCCAGACATTGAATAATTTTCTTGTGTCCACTTGTTCGGCTGATTGCTGATACAGTAGCATTGATCGATCCATACCCGCGAATGATGGGAATAATACAACGTGGGGTTCGAGTCAATTACCATCCAAGAACCGACTTCTTTTTCATGCCTCTTCCCCGTGTCCGCGGTTCGTTCGTTTCGACCCCTGTTCTCATGCCTTTTTGTTTATTGATCAGGAGTTTGCTGAAAAGCAGCTGTGAGTATTTTATGGCTGCAACCAGCATGGGGCCGACAATTACGTGAATTATTTAGCGAGGTTTCGAAACGACCTGCTGTCGAACAAGTCGGGTGTGCAAAAGATCTCTCCAAAAGTCTCGAATGTTACTCGACAATAATACGGATTCACAGTGTGCCTCTTCGACGAAAAGAAAACAATTTGTATGTACCTTGTAATAATTTTTGAAAATTTATCAGCGAACAAAGATATTAATATGACATAAAATTTATAAAAGTCTGTGCTAAGTTTAGTAAAAATGAATTGTGGTAGTAATGCAAGGATTTATTTTATGGGATGTCTTGTCTGACAATCTTCTGCAGAAAGCAAACTATAATTAACATTGTTGCCGATTAATTGTTTTGATTGGAAATTGTTTAAGCAGATTTCCTAATAAGGCGCTTGAACAAAAATTGCTGACTTGGTGAGCATTTGTGGAATACCGTGGGAAGAAAACTTAATATACTTCCAAGTATCTTGTTCAATTGGTTTGATTTGAGGATCTCTTCAAAATAATTACTGGCATGTGGCATTTCTTGAATACGTTTTTATTCAGTCTTCATTGTCAGTCTTCAGTCACTTTCATTATACATGTGGTACTTTGCAATTTGACTATAATCTGTTGCTGGACTAGGATAAAATTGCAAAGCAATCAAATTTCAAGACAACGTCAAATGACATATTTTCTACATGGCATTTGAAGTTTCATGTCTCTCCACAGGTTGAATTGTGTGGCAAAGGTCAAATTAAGTCAACCTCCCAGCAAATTTGACTGTCAAATTTCAGAATGGTCAAATTGGGAGGTGCCACCTGTAATAGCTTCTGAATCCATGCTACTTGTTTCTCATTTCCACCATATGACTAAGAAACAGCTAACAATTTTTTGGAGAGGAAAAATAATTTAGTTCCTAAATTCTATCATCTTACTCATATTATACAGTGAGACCCCAACCTGTGGACACCTTAACCTGCAGACAATTTGACATAGGGAAACTTATTTTCTAACGAAAAAATTGCACAGAGTGTTAATTGAATATTATTTGAATATGGTCTCGTCCTTCAAAAGGATTGAAAGAAAAGGTTTCCGTATCACTGAAGCATCTGTAAAGTGTCAACACAGCTTTCTCATCAGTGTAATGACTCAACATAGGGACATTTTGTGATAAAATTGCAAATACATTTCAGGCCAAATTACAAGATACAGATATTCCCACCTGTAGAATTGATGTGAGGAAAGTTCTTGGGCATTTCTCTCACCAATTTACCACCCATTTAGCTAATTTTAAAAAATTACCGTCAGCATAAAGGGACTTCTTTCTCTCCTTTTCAGTTGAATGTTAATTTTACAGCTAGAGAATGCCAACATTTCAATGTACTTTACAGAGGTATCAGAATTCAATTCCCCAAATGTCATTATTGTGTTGAAATATATTGATTGGAATAAGTTTTCAATTGGGAGACAATTTTAATTTTCATGGAATTATGGTGAGTATTTTGTATGTTAAACACCAATTATAAATTATGTAATGTAAGTCTAAGGGAAAGTGAGACTCAACTTAGGGACACTCTTGATTCACCAATTACGCCCGCATGTTGGGGTCTCACTGTATTTCATTTTCATTTTGTGTAATGATTTGTGGCATTGTGGGTGACTTTTTAGAAACCTTGGTTTAAAAGTGTAGACGATGCAGTGGAACTGGGAAAAAAGAAGTTCCGTTCCTTCGTTCTGTTCTAGAGTAATAACCGGCTGAAATTTGCTATGAATAAGAGATGTGCATTGCTGCTTAAGACTGTTTCATTTATTCTCACCGATTGAGGAGCGCAAGAGGCAATCAAATTCGATACTTGAACGAATAATGATTTTAATCCTCAAAAGCGTTATTTTTGAAGATCCATTTCAATCTACGTTTTCTGTGCAGAAGTCAACCTGTATAATTCACAATGATCCATAGATGCAATAAGAATAAATTTAATTTGGACGGCAAAGGGTTCCTTTCCATTGCATGGCAATGTCGGGATTTTCTGGGGTGGTCTTGCATTTCATTTTCCTAGAAGGCCACAAAAGCCATCAGTTAGCCCAGGGCAAATTTGGACTTCGTCTGACAAAAAGGTGCTGCTAATATTTCCCAAAGTTAGACTTTTTCCGCTAATATTTTTCTGCCTCTAAATAAGAATCCCCCATCTGGCGCTCAAAGTGAAAGGGTTGCAAATCTGAGAAGAACACAACTAATCCAGAGAGAGGCTACAAAATAAGGTCCTGGATTCTTTTTTGGGCAAACATTTTTTGGGGATTTTAAAAAATACATCAGGATTTTTCTGGACTTTGCCCTGGTGAATTGTTACTTTTTTATAAATCTGTCCTCACAGACACAAAATTTTGCAGAAAAAGTTGGACTTTGCTGACCAAGAGTTAATGAAATTATTGCTCACCTATGTTTTTTTTTACAGTCCCTGCACAATTGCCGCAATGACATTTTTTTTAAAAGTTGGATACACAGTACAAATACAGTTGTAAAAAATACATGGGCCCCAGATGGCTTGGTTTTTTGTGGCTGAAATTTTACTGCATTGTACATTGGAAATTTTTTGCTCTGAAAATGCATCATGCCAATTTAAATTACAGTGGATATGCTGCCATTTCGCTTATGGTGTTCATGCTTCAGGTGCACCTTGTGTCATTTCCATAGGGTAGGGGCCCATGAAGAAGTTCTCTCATAGTCTGCCAAGGGTTCTGCCCCTCTCAGCCTCTCTGAGGGTTAGGAAAGCAGCCAGAACACCCTGCCCGGGTTCCTCCTCTGCATTTCCCCCATCACTCCCTCAGTATACTAGTCGTGTATCAGTAGCTGGATGTCCACACGACAGGAACGCTTGTGGAAACATGCAGACTCGCTCGATTTCAAATGCATGTTTTTAAAACTATCCTGAAATTATTTTCGTTTCCATTGAAAGGCATTTTGAAGAATTTTTTAATGAATTAAAAAAAATGTTGCAAGATATGCTCAAGTGTTGAAACAATTCGAAAATTTTCTTTAGCATGATGTACATAATTTATGCTTTAATCCATTTTCCTTTCATAATACATGTTTTATAATACCTGTCAGCATTTTCGAGGCATAGAAAGCAACCGGAATCTTCAGAATTTTTTTTTTTATATTGAGAAACCTATTGTGCATGTAATCGTTTGTGCTTGTTAGTGACCATTAATTGAGCTTTTGCATCACCGAAGCGTTAGTAATGTATAATTTAATTCTCGTCAATATTTATAAATGGGTGCGGAAACCCCAAATTGATTTATTTAGAAACTAGAGGTCTTCTGAAAATGAAAATCCACGTACTTGTCAGGATTTGAAAAAATAAAATTGCATTCCCTGTTAACATGTTAGTGATTACCTACACATAATCATCCGATGAGCAAATTAAGCGCATCAGAAACTTCTCTTTTCAAAGCATGAAAATAAAATTACGCCCACAAAAAACTCCTGTCAGCATCAGTCGTGGGATTTGAAAGTTAAATGTTCCGCTTGTTTGACTGACCACGTACCAGCAACTCTCATAAAAATTTTCAGATACTGTATGACACTTCAGAAGTACGGAATACTGTAATATTTACTGTATCTTTTTTCATGATGGTCATGGTGAGGTTCATTCAGAATGTCCAGGTTTAAAATCAAGGGCCACTTTTACATATTCTGTGATACTGTAAGTGTCGGAGACATACGCATACAGTATATTGATGTGATAAATCACGAAATAATACTTGAATTTACTTGCTTCCCTTGTGCCCTTCTTGATGGGTAAGAATTTTGCTACCAGGGAAAGTATTGTAACTCATGATGAGCCTGCAGAAAGAAAAACAATTCAGCCAAAAATACCGTACTCCAAAAACTGATTAAAGTTCCCGACTTTGAAACAAAGCATGACGTAATAACAGAAACACAAATTTGCAAAATATGCTAGAATGGTGAAGCGATTCGAAAATTTCAGCATGATGTGCCACGCATGTTTTAAAGCATTGCATTCATCAAATTTTCAATGACAAAGTATTTCGTGTTCGAAAGCGGGTAGATCTGTTACCCATGCGTCATACTGAATTGAAAGATGCAACTCGTTGCAGGATAAAATTGAACACCTCTACTGTTCAAAGTTGGTATACGCTAAGAGGATCAATAAGCACTACATAGCTTAGTTTTGCATCCTGATTGAATAATTTTTTTTAAAATTCACATCTTATCTGAAGTAAGAAACTGTTACCAACGGCGAACTTATGTCCGAGTCTTCTTGAAGCCCACTGGATGAAACTTAATGTTGAATAGACCGTGATTTTTTTAACAATTCAACTGTACTAAGGCTAGATAAGCTGCATTCCTCTAGAAAAGAGGCCTTCGTAGTTTCAAACGTATTTCACAGTACCTCTTGTGCAGGATATTCCAGTGCCGTGAGATACTTTTCCCCCAAGACCCTCTCACGATAATTGCGTTGAAATTCTCGTGAAAATTTTTATTTTTATTTTTGCTGAATAAATAAGGCATTCATTAATTTCTTCGCTGATTCTCATGCGTTTCCGTGGACGAGTGGTCGTCCATCGCAGTGACTGGCTGCTCTGAGATATTGGCATCCTCTGGGTGTGACGTCCCTTTCCCAGAAATGGGTTGGGTGCGGGGGAAGGCGGGTGAGGGTATTGACGGCGCAGGGCTGTACTCCCTCCCACATTGAATGACACTCGCCGGCATTACATAGATAACATACGAGTATATCCTATCCGGCCCAAGAAATTGTCCAACGGATTGTTCCCCTCTGTATGAGTTTCTGCCCATATTTTAGAGGCCCTTTACAACAATTGTTGCTACAATTAATGTTTTCTGGTCCCCAGAATTTTGTTGCAGAGAGGGAGAACTTCCATTGCATTGCTTGGAAGTTTATAGAGTCACACACACACACATATATACAGTATATACATATGAACAGACCTTAAGGTCGATTTGTATTTAATTGGAATTTTTTCCAACAAAGGCCATGAGCAACAAACTGGCTACATACAGAAGCCAATGAGATTTGCAGTATTTCAAGCCCCTGCTGTTTTCTTAGATACAGTATTTAAAAAGCTTTTTCTGGAGTCACTCAAACTTGATCCCATGAAAGTTTCTGCCTTGATCTAATGAGCTGTACTGAAGTGCACCTGAACCTTGCTAGCTCAAATCTCCATAATTCAAAACGTCCCTATGCTGAATTAGTTAAGACTCTGTCTGAATCCTCTCAAGAACAATATGTAATGAACCTCCCCAACACAAAGATTTCCCACTCAAACTTCCATAACTCGCATAAGACGTACCTCCGACAACCAAATAATAAGACCAACGCGACCCTTTCGTTTGTACTTATAAACTAAACAACGACAAGTTCGTCTTCACTCACTTACTAAGAAGGTCATTACTTGGGAATGGTACTTCTTCAGCAGCCTTTCAATTTCTTTAATCTGCAGTTTTATGCCCACATGAAAATAAAGTTTAGTTTCCTCTAATTTTCTCTGCTTATATCCACAAAAAAATGCTGTAGAATAGCACACTTCTCATAGGAGGATTATCCGCGTGAAGTTCTTCAGACTTGTCCCTCTGAAAAAGTTCAGTGACTCATTTTAGAGAAAATTGAGACCTTGAAAAAACGAGAGTACGAATTTACTTCCACTATTCTTCAAAATGCGTCACAAGGTAGCTTTTCATAGACGCGTAAAATGCTGGGCTGAATCGTGATCAATGTTATTTTATTTGTCAAATGCTGATGAATGTTTGCTACGGTGAACGTAGTGCGAAATTGAATAAATTAAGCATTGAGCAATCCCCCTTCATTCTGTATCATCCCTTAACAGAAAAATGTATACCGTTGATCCGTAAAGAAAGTGTGAAGTGTGGGATGCTCTACTTTGACAAATGAAGTGTGCGTCAAACAGAGATTCCTAGATCCTAGCCTATCCTTCGGATAAAGTCCTGAGCGGGACAGTCTATCTTGCCATACCAGTGGAATAGGCAGCATGAACCCGGCACAGGCGGTAGTTCGTCGGGCCGCGGGGCGCAGATGGTTTCGTTTTGCGATTTCCCGTCCGAAGGTCGCGGGTACCATAGTGATCGAAGCTTAATCCTCAGTTGACATCGTTTTGCTTTGAGTTTGCAAGTGGTAGATACTTCTGGTGACCATACGGACGTTTCGTCGTGATTCGAATAACCGCACCCTAAAAATCACCAAGCTCAGCGCTCCTTGAAACGTGATAGCGTCGAAGAAGTGCTAATTGATACGGCATTGCATTTTGATCAGTTTATTCTCCGTGAATGCTAAAAAAGAGTTTTGTGTCTGATGATGCGTATTCTGGCCGAATGCTGTCGTTTAGTGCCGGAAAATCTTTCTCCACCGTGAGGAAATGTGTTATCTCTGGATCGTTAGACGTCGTACTGGTGGTGGAGGTTTCACCTTTTCGTAACTCGATTTCTCATCATCGTCGTGGAAATTTACTGGAAATTGAGATATGCACATCTGTTTTAGAGTCAAACTTGAGGCCATCACGGATTGTACGAGACTTTCGGTCAATGACATGACTTTTTGTCGCCTGTTCAAGCTCAATTTAAATGGTTCGCGAACATAATGAGACGATTTTTGTTATACTTGACCGCGATAATACGGAGAACATTCTTATTAGCCTACGCGTTAACGCGTACTCGGAGCAAGGTTACTCTGCTGCTCGCTCGCTGTTTCGTATAGAACTAAACAATGGAATGGTCGATTCGTGATTATGATAGGTCGATCGTGGTCAGCTATTTGTTGAGGGCGATGATACGTATTTTGTGTTCCTTGCGCAGAGTACTCAAGGTCGTGTTGGTCAGATAATTTCCCCACGGTAATAAGTATTTGAGCTATTAATATGAATTCTTTAAGCATTACCCTCGCTATCCCGTCATAACTTTGTGAGTTTCAATAACGCCTCGCAACTGTAGTGTTGATGAAAAAAAACACGGTTTGAAATAAGATGTCATGTAGGTTTTTATACAGGACTCTTGGGGCTTTTTATTCTCGAGAAGACACTTCAAAAATTGCATCTTAAACAAAAAAAAAACAATATATTGTATCAATGCTTAATTTTATTCAATAATTCAACGTAATCTTATTATGGAATAAGGCGGAGGTCACCGTATCTGGAATCTATTGTATACCGAAATCATTTTCAAAACTTAATTGCTAAATATAGAATGAATTCCATGCATAAATATCAATTTTCAATGAAGGGGAACTTGATTTGACCTGCTTCTTGTTTGGAATCAGGGTCGGAAAGCTGACTACGGTTTTTTTCTTCTTCGGGTGTTCAGTCTTCGGCTAATTTGATGCTGTTCACGCAATATCCAAACAGGCATTCTAGGGATGGACAATTATTGTTGCAGCACTTGCAGGCAAAAATACGAAATACTTATTCTCAAAAATTTCGATTCTTTTTCTAGATTTAAATACTGTACTCGTATGTGTTATTCATGACGGACTTCGAGTTCAGTTATTGAGTCAACGAGAGCGAAAGTAGAAATCGGAATAATTTTCTCCGTAGTTACACGTTTCTCGAGGTGAGAATCCTGAATTAGTCCACAATCGATGATTCACTTTGTCTATAAGTGCTGTGAGAAAACAAGTTTTTTTTGCCATTCGGTTTCCAAAGCCGAGATAACCGAAGTATCTCATGGGATCTGTCGAATGACTCGACGGACAAGTAAAAGAAAACAGTGGCATCTAGGATGAATGACGAGTTCTACGTCGACGTTGCCGTCTGGCTTCTTTTTTTAAAAAGCATCCTGTGCAAAATACCTGACGTGATGTGCGTCGTTACATCCCAGACGAATCTAAATTAAACAAGCTTGACCCAGTGAAACTGCGCCTCAACGGAAACGAGTCATAGTAGAGTCCGACTAGCGTTTCGTCATCTTGGTGATATGCATATTTCACTAGAACACGTATACAGTCATAGGATGAAGATTAAAGATGCCGTATTTCTCTCTATGTGTATTTTACCGCGCTTAATTCCAGAGGAAATGCCGTGCACAGCTCGGTTGTGACTTAAATACTACATATTCTACTCAAGTCAAACCTCTTACAAGTCGAACTTCAAAGGACCAGAAAAAAAATCGAGTTAGGGAGGTTACGAGTAATAAACAAAACGCACTTTTTTGTTGGGAGAAAGAAAGAACTGTAGGAACTTGCAATTCGTGATATTCTGAGCCTTGAATTGCTTCTTGAATGAGTTCACACGAAACTTAACCTGGAGGCAAGGGTTTGTTTGCTCTATTGGTCATTCACTTCCTTTCAAAACACATAAATTTACATTTCTGTTGCTTTTTTCTTTCCTTCATCAATAAAATATTTGCAAAATCGTGTGAGGAGGATTTTAATGCATTTTTTGTGAGGGGATTTGCAAAGGGACTTGTATACCACTTTTTTGTGGAAATTTCCATCCGGAAAAGTTGGATTAAAAAAAAAAAAGTATTTTACCTTGCATTAGCTGCTTAAAATCCGTATGTGATCCAAATCCGAACGTAGCCTATGAGGGCATAAATACAAATTAACTTTGGATCACTAGTGTCAGTGTACTTATTTCATGAGGTGTTATTTTACCACTTGGACTTCTGAAGGATCGGAATTCAAAACTGAATTTTCAGCATTAGGCTAGGTGATATTTTAGTCATTGAATATATTCTCGCATTGAGCCGAGTGATACGTTCTGAAAAATCTCTCCAAAGCTGAGCGTGATCATAAAACATGATCCTCTAAAGTCTAAACTTGAGTGAAGAAACCCTCAACTTCCGAGAGAAAATGTTAGAAACAATGTCGCGAAATTGTCCGTCACGGAATGTTTTCAAGTTACTCAGAATATTGCTATAGACGCCACATTTGATTGAAAATTAATTTAAGCTATCCATACCTCCCAATTTTATTATAGATTTTCATTGATTCGCACTGGATTTTAAGACACACACAGCCGTGGTATACAGGTATTAAATGATCTTAAAACTTGCAGGTTTGTCATTAAAAATCCAAGTCAGAGCAAGCTGTCTTGGGTTAATTTAATCATCGGAATACTGTATTATTCATTTGGAGTTCGAAGTTTAGACCACTATATCCTAAAGACTAGATGAAGTCATAGTTTTTGGGGTCTAAATATAGTTCACCCCTCGCAGCCCGGAAGAACTTCGCACGAAGAGTTTTCAATTTATTTTGTTCCTTTTGGATGTTCTGCTACTAAGATGGTCGAGTTCTGAAAATGTACCTCGAAAAGGTTACGATAATAGCTCTTTTATCACCACCAGTGAAGAGGCAAGAGATTCAAGGCCAATGGAATATGTTTTGAGTTCAATTTGCGGTGTACGCGAGTTCGGAACACTGGAATCCTCTACAATAATTTCTTGTTGAGTAAACTGTATTTCTCAATGAAACCACTCCATTTTCTTGATAAGAGACTCGACTTTTATTTGATTGATAACGACATTTTCCTTCCGAGCCTAAATTGTCAGCGGGTTTTATCGACTCTTGCTTAAGCCCGTTCACGTCGCGTCGCGCGATTACCTTCACAGATTTTATTTTGTTCTCTCTCGTATCGCTGCTCAATTCTCCTGAGCGACTCCGCAGCATTCGAAACTAGGAAAAGGCATTGTTTCTGTAGGGGACCAGCAATACACTGCTTAAATATAAAAGTGTCGTGAGTGTGTCGTGATCATTCTGTTGCGACGGTTGCTGCCTGTGGCCGTCGTCGTTGGTCGGTCGACGGCTGGCTGCTGTAGCGTGTGGCGGCGATCCGGGCTAGTGGCGGCGGCGACGGCGGCCATGAGGAAGACCGCCGTAGCGGGCACGTCGTCGACAGCGGCGGCGGCGGCTAATGCACCACCTGTCGCGTCGATGGACGGGGCCCAAGCCGCGACACCGACGGGGACTGTGGCGCAGATCAAGACCCCGGCATCTCGACGTCGCGTCGGGGACGCTGGCCATTGCACAGCAGAAGTCGACACGTCGCCCTGTGGCCCGGCAGAGGTTTTCCCCGTTGTTTTTGTGTTTCCTTTTTTTTTAGACAAGAAATGAATTTTTTTTTTAGGTTAAAAAAATCGACACAATTTCTTGAGAATTTGCGTTTGCGTTGGAATCCTGCGTAGTTCGAATTCTAGAACTTCCTCATTCCCGGGAACTTTGTCTTATTTATTTACCTGTTTTTGTGATCGTTCTTTTCAGTTTGGTCAAACGTGGAAGGAAGAGCTTTTTAACTAGTGGTTTTTTTAGACCTTTTTTTAAGTTGAAAATTCTTCCGCTGCTCTGAGGATAAACAACAACAAAAATTTGGCGTTTTTGTGGAAACACCGCGTAGATTTTATTATTATTATTTTAGTTTCACGTGGTCCCGGAGTTCTGGGAATTCATCATTCGTTGAAATCTGTTCCTTACTTATTTTCGGTGATCCCCGTATAATGGAGTGAATTCCTTTCTGATGAAACTTTTACTGGCGAACGTTTTAAATTTGACGTTCTTCTTCGTTTTTATTTTTCAATAAATATTTTTCAAGTTGCCATGAAGTGGAACAACGTTTCTTGAGAATTTGCGTATGTGTTACAATTTCGTGGAATTCAGTGCATCTAGTTCAGTTTCTGGTAGCGTGATAAGTTCACTCGAGTCAAGTTTCTTGTAGTGAAACATTAACTGACGAACATTTCAATTGGTCGTTCTCCCCTTTTCAAGAACAGAAATCACTTTGAGTGTCTTCTCCGACGAAAGGAAAATATGCATTTACAGTATTGCTATTTTTATGGATATTTTTGCGCTCGTGCTTGAATCCCGCGCAGAATTTTTAGTTCAGTTTCACTCGTGCTCTTTTTTTTCCAGGATTTTTTTAAATCTTCAAGAATGATTTCATGACTATTTTATAGTGACTCTTGAAATTATTTAACGCTTTCGATAAGTTGACAAAAGCTTTCTTTATTCCGTTGTTTCATCGTCGGTAGAAATTGAACAAATGTGTACGTATACGACATCCGTTTATTTCGGAATTTCCAGTGCAATTTTAGTTTAGTTTCTCGTGTGAACGGTGTTCGGGAATTTCGAGGGCAGTTTTCTTTTTTTTCCGGATTTTTAAATTTGGTGAAATCACCTGTTAGAACGGCGGTAGTATATTTATCGCTTTGTGATCAATTGGTTTTTAATTTTTGACGGGTTCGAAATTCCGATCTCAAATTGAAGTTGGATGTACCGTAGTTCTTGTTGGATCCGCCCATGTTATGCGAAAGTGTTGCGAATTTTATAAGAATTGGAGGATGAGTTTGGCGCCAGCCAAACTCATCCTCCCGCTAATCTCGTGGGAACCCAAGGCCACCAAAACTCACATAGCCTTCTCCTCAAGGAGACATTCCTCTCTTGGACTTGTGTTTCTACAGAAGAAATATAACAACTTTAAACTAGGGTGTTATTCACCCCGGCCGCAGCTCGGCTGATTGCTGTGTTTTATTCATCTAAAATACTTTTTAATACATTTATTCTTCACAGAAAGTATTCATATGTTCACATCAGTTATTTCAATCCACATCATCCGAAAAAAGGTCATGGTAGATCAGTTTAGTACGGTACAGTAGTTCTCCGATTTTCTGGAATACTATCCCGATTTCTATGCCTAGACCTAGACAAAATATCACGTATGATTCTACTACGGTACTGTATTTCACGAATTTCATACAGTTGTCGAAATATATTTCTAAAATAACTTGAAATAATTTTAATTACTCGCCCATTCATCTCGAAGTGACTCAGCCTGATTAAAAGAGGTTTTGTTAATTTATGAGATCAGATCAGAAATAGATTTCAGGTAATCTTGGTGTCATTTTTTTTTGTACCAGCAGTGCATTAAAATGCTAATTGATGGCAATGGGGCGCGAATGATTTAATAGGGAAGTTTCAGTGTAACATGTGTGCAATGAATTGAATTTTTGAATTTAATTTAATTATTAAATTTAATTATGTGAAAATTTTGCCTCACATAATTATTTAACTATACGTTGAGGAGTGTATTTATTTCTGCATCACGAATCCAAATCTATTTGACATCGAAAATTGATGCACTGCTTGTTCTATGTCTAAACTTACAGAGAAATTACGTGCGTTCGTAGTACGAAGAGTTCAATGAATTGAGGTTCAATTTTTTGATACCACGCGTTTTTTTTTTTTTGAGTTTGAAAAGAAAACTCCGTGAAGTATAGACATGACTGAAGTAATCCTCTATCCGCTGTCCGTTCTGACCGACAGTCCCGTGCAAGTTGTTGAGCCCAAAACGGTGAGTTTGCAAATTGCTTCCCCGCATAATGCTGTGCAAATAAAAAAAAAGTTGACGAAAGACATAGACTTATTCAAAAGTTAAATGTACAAATCCTTGTCCCTGACTCAACTTTTATGCTACATTTAAGCTAAAGATTCAAATAAATTTCAGGCGTCGGAAAGACGCCGAAAGTGAAGAGGGGCTGTAGGTCATTTGGGTTCTTTATTCTGATCCCGGATTTCGAGTCCGGATCACATTTCCGTATTCAAAAAATAAATGAAAAAATTCGCCGAAATTTCCTATTAATGTCGATTTATATGCGATATTTCTGTAGAATCGAAAGTAAAAGTCAGCGACTCGACCCGTTTTCCACGTATTTTTCCCCCCACATTCTTTTGGGGTAGCACGGTAGTTCACGTTGACATTCGGCGAAAAATGCATGTGTGTATTATGTTCGATGTGATGAATCTATGTCATTTTGATGACCCGATTTTTTTCTGGGAATTTTTCTTTTCGCAAATGCAGATGTCACCGCTGATGAATGAGGGAAAAATGCGCCTGGTACGGACCTTTTATACAGTACTGATAAATTCGCCTCGAACCTTCACGTAGTTCGGTCTACTCTACCTGACCTTCGGATAAACCACTCATCAAAGTGAAAAACTGCACATGACATCACTCTAAGAATTTTATCCCATGTTAAGGAGCTTTTCGGTTTTCATTTTTATCGTTTATTCGTGTAAGGTGAAGGTAATCTCGAGAAAGGTGTCATCTGAGTCCTTATGATAAAAGATTAGGTACGTTACATGCGTTTTTGAAGATTTTCGAAGGTGAATGATTACACTCGTCTTTGATAGGTGATTACAGGTGGACTCTTTCTACAAATGTATTGTCTACAACGATTTTCTTTGTACAGTATATAACATTTTGGTGTGGTCCCACAGGGTTCTCTCCCCATTTCGGAAGGCTTCTCTGCAACGAAATTCTCTCTACAAAGACTTTTGTTCTGATCCTTTGAGTTCCGTTCAGATGAACGTCCACCAGTATTTTCATCAGTTCCTTGCGAATGTTTTCCATTTTTGCTGAACCAGTTGAAAATTGAAGTGAGAGAAGATTTTTGAAATGCGTCCGGACTCTGAAAATAAGTCATTTTTTCCTGTCACAGATTCAAATGTGTGCCATTTTTCATGTAACTAAAAATAATCTAGCTAATGTGAAGTTGATTCCGCTACCGAATGAACTGAAAAAATGTCTTGAACTTGCCTTTTTATTTTCGTCGTGTGAAGTTTGACCAAATTCGTCAAAAATTGAGATGTACGTGGCTTAAATTACGGCTGCAATTAAATGGAATCAGTCATGAAAAATGATTTTACATTTTACTTCCAACATTGGAATTAAACTCGCGATGATTCTGTGTGCCCGTGAAACTAATATTTAGGGTAGTATTTTTACATTATTAACTTTATGTTTGTCTGTTCGCTCATTTTCCGTCGTACTGGTAATTCAAGAGTTAATGACGAGATCACTAGATTTAACTAATAAATGACGAGATTTAAGTGACAGTTATGTCGCAAGAAACAAAATTGAAAATTTGGTGGTCATCTGGTGTGTGAACGAAGGGCGAACTTTCGGAATAATAGACTTCAATTATTAATATTTTACTTTGCTCTTAATTTAGTGCTCGTTTGAGCACATTTTAGTGCTATCCTGTTCGAAAAAATGTAAAATTTTCGGACGGAACTCCATAAATGCTATAAAATTGTTTTTCCCCTGAAACAATTCACTCTTGGAACGGTTATCTCGAGTTTTGTGCTCACGTCGTACTTTTATCGACAATTGGAATTATCGTACTCGCGAGAAATATTTGAAGACGTTTACTTTTTAAAATTGTTCATTTGGTCGTGTTTTGAAAATGTGAACCCGCTGAAAATCGCAGACCATCCGTTCCATTTCGTAATGGAGAGAGTGCCGCCAAAAAATTGGCACACGGCCTCGTATCCCCGGACATACGCTCGAGTTGATGTTTATTCCTGTTCTACTCACTCCAGCCACGATAACATGTGGCGTTGAGGTCGTCCCTTTACTACTTACTCCCTTTGAACTTGACCTGGATTCTCTGAAATCATCAGTCAAGGAGACGCTTAAAAATGGTCTCGCTGCACCTGCCATCCGGATTTCCGGCTTGAGATATAAAAAATCCCTAGTGGATGTCCCTGTTCCATTTTTTTAGGTGTTTTTTTTTCTTGTGCGATGCTTGATGTGACGCACAAGGAAGGGAAAATCTTGTGTCAAAGTGAATATAGCATTTTCTGGAACCATTCCCAGCGAAATGAGCGAATTTCAACCTCAACCCACGTGTATATGCACTTCAGGAAGCATGTGTGTTTTTAAAGGTGGACTGGTTGAAAGAATAGTTGAACCTCGATAACTCGAACCTCCCGAAGTCGAATACCTCCAATCTGTCGATTTTTTTTTCGACTGGATTCCCGTCTGAATTCCTTTGGAAGTAATACATTCAAAACCTCCCTTACTCAAAGCGTTTCATCCTCGATCCTCCAAAACTCGAATTTTCTTGAGGCCTTTTGGCTATATTTTTATCGACGCAGGAAAGAGAAAAACGATCAAAAAGAAACTATGTATTTTGATAAAAAAAAGTGAAAGACTGATTTGGCGGATAAAACCTCCCCTTCAAGTGTAGTATCCTTTCAACAAATTTATACAGCAATTTTAGGCTCAGAATATCGTCAATTACAATTTCCTGTTCGTTGTCTTCCTCCCCCTCTTCAGAATTTTCTGAACAATATGAACAATTGCAAATGATCTCATTTCTTCCCCGTCGAGAAATTGTGCTTGTGGCTTGATTTTTTGTTCAGATAACTTTTTGAAACTTGCAAATATTGAACGATAATTTTTCTATGAATTGCTTATCCTCAACGAGCGAAAATCGAGGTTAGCTGTTGAGAACTCTGAAGAAAACATTTTTTTAATTCATTGCAGACTAAAGCATACTGACTGAATTCCGAAGAAAAAGAAAATTAAATATACGGTGATTTGAGGAAAATTACAGTATTCCGTCCTTCCTCTCCTCGCTGAGCTGGCAAAATAATGCGTTCATTTTTCGCTGGCGTGTG